TTCCAAAAATGTCGCAGCGAATTGAGAATCTTCGCTGCTTACGCTATTGTCATGGCACACTTTTTTTTCCTCCAAATCAACCTAGTTTGGAATGCACCAGACTTGCCAGTGCAACCATGCTTTTTATGCGTTTTTGCCTATATGCAAATTGCAAAAGCACATATTGCGACGACCCTGTCTATGCGTGTATGTATGTGTGTGTATGTTTATGTGTGTGTGTTTGTCTGTCCGGGTCAACTTGGCAACCAAACAAGTTCCAGCGCCGAGATTTTGCTAGTAGGTTCCCCGGCCAAGTGTCATCCCAGAACGGTGGTGCCAACCCTCATACAGGTCCGGGCCCGCGTACGAGGGGGTGAAAGTTTTGGTAAGAAAATTGATAACTCGGGAACGAGAAAGCTGAAATTTTGAGGCTATGTTTCCCGTCCAAATATAACTCAAAGATTTCAAATTCAGCTTCCAGGTGTGCGTGGTCCCCGCGTACAACTCCGCGAGATTTTTTGGCGGGAAAATGACTAAGTCGGGAACTAGCAAAGGTTGGAGACTGAAATTTTCAAAGAATGTCCCTAGCATAAGCACAACATAAACCTATCAAATTCAGCCTCCAGTCGTACATTGTTCTCAAGTACGGCCCTGTGAAATTTTTTTTGGCAAGAAAATGGCTAACAGAAAAGCTGGAAAGCTGAGATTTTGGGAGAATATTCCTTGTCTCAATATAGAATAAAGGTTTCAAATTCAGCCTCCTTTTACGCGTGATTCTCGTGTATGGGTACTTAAATTTTTGGTGGGAAAATTTCATTGAGCAGTTGAGTCATTTTCAGATAAAAGCGACCACTAAACAGAAATTATTTTCTTTTATGTAAAATTTGCAATGATTTATGGTATTGAGCGCAAAAGGTAGGTGTGAAGAAACAACCATGATGCAGTTAACCTAATTACTTAAGTTTGGTGCAAAAACGCCTGGAGCGTTCCAACCTGGGTTTACATCAAACTTGAAGTAATCAGGTCGTTAATAGCATGAATGGTTGTTGTTTTATGCTTAACTTGTGCACTCACTACCGCAATTCATTGTAAATTTTGCATAAAGAGAAATAAACAGTTTCCGTTTAGTAATCATTCCCTTAAAAATGATCTAGCTATTCAGCAACTAATTTTCCCGCCAAAAATTTAAGTGCCCATACGCGGCCAGGAGGCTGAATTCGGGATCTTTAAGCTGTGCTTGGACAGGTGATATTCCCCTAAAATTTCATCTTTCCAGTTTCTCTGGTTACTGAATTGGCATTTTCTCGCCAAATCTTTCACATGCTCGTACGTAAATACAACGCTTACCTGAAGGCTGAATTTGAAATCGTTAAGTTGTATGTGGGCGGGGAACACGCCCTCAAGATTTCGGCCGTACAGCTTTTCTGGTTGCTGAGTTTGCAATTTTCCCGCCAAAACCTTCACGTGACAGTGCCTGAGAACCGCGCACACTTATTGGTTGAATTTGAAATCTTTAGCCCGCAGTTGTGCAGAGAATATCCCTGCAGAATTTCAGCTTTCTATCTTGTCTGGTCTCCGAAATCGCTTTTCCTCCAAAAAATTTGCATATTTTTTTAAGGCGCTCGTTTGCGGCAGTCAGGCGGAGGTGGGTGATGATGATATTAGAACGAGTGGGTCGCACTGGTGGTTGGCACATACGAAGTTCCAATCCTT